CAGAGTGTACTGTTGTGAAATACGCAACACTATTGTCAAAAACCACGGAAGCAGTAGCATACGGTTTTACTGTCCGATTCCGTCAGTTACTTTACATTACTCGATGACTTTCATGAAAAGTACGAGGCGTTCGAACTTTTCGGAAGCTCATTTGATAACGCTCGAAACGCACCAAAATGGCAAACATTTTTTTGCTTTCCTTATTGTCTTCTCAAATGCAGAAATTTCTAGTAAATAACCACGCAATAAAGAATTTACATTTCTCGGAACCATCGCCATTCATCAACGGGCTATCCGTAAGAGTTTTGAGGAACCGCTTCTAAATTGGCAAACCTCTGTCAATGAAAGCATCCCGCGTTTAGGAGGACGAAAACGGTGAGAACACCATAGCCATCCTTGTGCAGTTTTATGGCGCGCGCATGTTGACAGGATTCAGTTACCGACTGCAAAAAATTGAGAATAAATTCTTGACAGTTGAAACACGACACTTGCTGGAAAAGAGAACACCCAGAGGCGGCCTTTTTTGTTTTGAACAGCACATGGGAGAGTCTGGTTACACCCCAACTTCAGGGTAAAAAGGGCTCAAAATAGCCATTTTCCTGCTGTTAAAACGAACGAATCTATGCAGACCAATACACATTTCTTTCCTCCGCTCAAATGAATTCTCTGTCATTTCAGGTCCACCTTACTGAGGTGGAACTTGAAATATATTGTACTGTCCTAATTTCCAATTCATGTACAGTACAGTTATTGGATTGCTACTAACAAAGTAGGTATGATGGATGATGCGGTTCTACCATCTGACCAGCAGTAAATAGAAAACCGCCAAAAATACTTTATATCAGAAAGTCTACATGATGCGAATCATTGTTTGGGAAACAATTGGCAGAAAATCCACGCAAGGCATTCATAACTTGAGCAAAACTTCCTGCCGTATTCTATTTTTCTGAATAAAGAAAAGGCTGATTTGCAAAGAAGTGGATGCTTTCGTAAGTAAAACGTGAAAATCATCCCACGGAATAAAGCTGAAGATGTCTCGGTAATTACGAAACTACCATCTATATTTAAAAAGGAGCTTGGTGGAGGCTTATGGTCAAGTACCCCACACGGTTGCCCTCTAACTTCAGGGCTAGGAAGTCTCTCCTAACTTTCTGTGCACTTGGAAAATAATTGTAATGCATGTGGCCCAGAATTCATTTCATTTACTCACAGTATTCTCCTTTTTTCAATCGATTGCCTTCCGCGCTGCTGGTCCATCAGGGTGTGGTCCAAATTTAAAACTACTGTTTTGACAACTAAAAGATGTTGAATGTGGATGAGGAAAATTCACAACCTTAAAACTCTCCCAAAACCTCAATATAGAGGTCATCGGACTCATTTACAGATGTTCGTTTGTGTGATCGGTCAATTACAATTCATGGGTGTGGATGGAAAAAATATTTTCAACTTCTTGCCAGGAATCCTCGAAGAGGATTTATACAGAGATCCGAGATCCGGAAAAAAAAAAGAAAATCACCTGGGAACGGATCAGTTTGATTGCGCTGGGACCCACCATAATGATTCACAGCATCTACAATTATATTCGAGTGAATACGGTAGAATTCAGACTTTAGGCTTGATCAGCCAGAGCTAGGAAGATGGTCGATTTGTAAGGACTAATTCACCTGGGTAACCAGAAGCATGGTCCAGCGTCGAACGGATAACCCACATAGCGTACAGTAAGAGTTGAGTGGCACTCGCTGTCACTTAACACAATAGCCTGCACACTGATAAGCACAGACTAGAAATAAACACAGACACTTGCAACGTTACAAGTCGGTTTATGGCAGGTCGCAATTCCTGTTCTCAAACACAGTTAGGTTATACACTTCCGGACCGATCGGGGGTTCGCAATAGAATGAGGCTGGGCTGGCCTCAGTGCTTAAATGGATAACATGGCTGCCTGAAATGCGCGCGCCGTTGCGTCAGCCTTGTCGTGATTGGTAGCAGTACAAAAAGATTCCCTCATCAAATACGCATTCGTCTTATTTGCGCAGGCTAGTATGGCCGTCCAGCCATTACTCTCCCCCCTCCCCCCCACTGCTTGGCAAGTTGGTGCTGTCGTTTGGTGGGTTGGCGTTGCTGCGTTGTCTCTGTTGGTGGCAAGGTTGCACGTTGTTGTTGTCATCTGTCTCTTGACATACCTTTGATGATGATTGCAGGAGTACTTTGTTACACCTGATGCCGTTGTTTTCATTGGTTGACTGGCCTGAGATGCTGTCGCTGCTGGTTTTGGTGTTGCCGGATGTGTCTGGCGATATTCTTCTGCGTGCGCAAGGCATGCATGCCATGTCAGGGATTGGTTGGCAGTTGCCTTTGAATGGAGGTGGGAGAGTAGGCCTCCAGTTGTAATGGACAAGAGTTGACCAATGAGTTCCTTGGTGATGGTTGTTTCCTGTTGGGGGAGCTTGTCTGCTGTGTACGCAAGATACCAAATGTACTCTTTGTGCATTCTGTGCCCGAATTGGGCATAGGTCGTGTTGCCGGACGGGAGGAGCTGCTGGAATTGTGTTTAATGTTTGTAGGGACATAGCCCAAATCTTACTTTCAGCCTGTCCACAATGTCGTCATACTCTGTATATCCTTGCTCATAGAGCTGCACTGCTGCCTCGGCTACTTTGGGTTGTGAATGCCCTATCAGGCAATCAACCCTGGTGGAATTTGGTGTGCTATCATGTTTGAAGGCTTCTGCCAAACGACATAGGTACACCTTGATGTTTTCGTTTTCTGACTGTTTTGGATAATAGACGGGCCTGCAGCAGAGGAGCAACCGGGATAGCTGTTCCGCGGCGCTGGGTCCCGTTGTGAAGTCTGGTGACGTGTTCATCACTACGTTCTGGGGCGTGACCCCTTTACTTTGAAGCGCAATCACAAGTTCATTGCGTGACGCATTGTTGGCGTTTGAAGCTGTTCCGCGGCGCTGGGTCCCGTTGTGAAGTCTGGTGACGTGTTCATCACTAGCAAGACCCCGCACTGGGGAAATGAAACTTCGCGTTAGTGTTCAAGTAACGCACTGCGTAACAACCGCAAACCATGAACCACGCGACAACGCATTCAGACGTACCGCAAGTTGCAATAGAACAAGGTCGGGCTGACGTTTGCTCTTGCGTTAGACTGGGCTGCTGGTTGTGGCCCTGGTTGAGGGTCCGAGTCGGCGCGGTCACTGGAATTCATCTCTGTCGGCTGAGCCCCAGTAAGAGTTGAGTGGCACTCACTGTCACTTTACACAATAGCCGGCACACTGATAAGCACAAACTAGAAATAAACACAAAACTTGCAACGTAACTAGTTGGTTTATGGCAGGTCGCAATTCCTGTTCTCAAACACAGTTAGGTTATACACTTCTGCACCGATCGGGGGTTTGCAATAGAATGAGGCTGGGCTAGCCTCAGTGCTTAAACGGATGACATGGCTGCCGGAAACGCACGCGCTGTTGCGTCAGCCTTGTCATGATTGGTAGCAGTACAAAAAGATTCCCTCATTAAATACGCGTTTGTCTTATTTGCACAAGCTAGTATGGCCATCCGGCCATTACTATACAGTCAAACACCAATTTAGTACCAACATCTATCCGACAAGATTTTGTGGCACTTCAGTAGCAACTCACACCTCACATCAAGAACTCGCAACTTATAACGTCACTTTTTTCTCAAGTTCATTCTCACTGGAAAAAATAACCTGCAAATGAATTTTAAAATCATCCAAATCAAAAGAATGAAAAACTGGAATTAAAATACTGTATCGCAAATGATTCAAAAACGATGTGCTGAAGAAAAAGGTACACACAATTCCTCTTCAATCATCAAGTAATGTACTTCAATAAACGAAAGATCGAGGTAAGAACCGTTTTTTTTTTTATAGAAAACACTTTTCAAATTAATTAAAAACATAGTTGGTAGAAACAGGACTCGTCTTATCCATCTCATTACAAAGGTAAAGACCCTGTGGTAAAACAAAATTTTCTCGATCGACATCGCCAGAAAATAAAATCAAACAAAATCCCTTCTCGAGATTTTAGTTCAGAAAAAAAAAATTTTGAAATCCTTAGTCTTTTAAAAATTTTTGGAGATTATATTTACCTATAGTAACCGCTGAATGGGTTCAATTGAACCATAGCACAACATGACGCAAAATGTTTTCCATTCAGGCCGGAGAAAAAAAAAAACCGGGAAATGGTCAGGAGCAGGTCATATTCAAGAAAAGAAATAGTCAGAACAGAAATGTTACAGTTTATCAACGTCTTGTATTCAAAATGACTGAAATCGTCTCAAATACGGTAAGTTCGCCCTGCACCAACTTGTCAGGCACGTGCTTGAACCATTCGGAGTGAAACCTTGTGATGAACGTAGATGAGAACAGCGAGCCCTTTTGCTGTTCGGCGTCGTAAGTGAGATAAACGTGACGTGGATCCATCCCCGCTTCGCATAGGATAGTAGCTTGATTCAAAACCGACGCTGGCCCAAGGCATTCCTTCATGGTTTCTAGAAACCCTTCGCCGCTTCCCAGCACACTTTTCGACAACAACACGACATTTTTGAGTCACTTGAACGCCTTCACGGCTCGGAGAATTTTCTTAATTTCCTGTCAATGATTTACAGCGCAGAAAGTAAGAAAGATGATGAATCCTATATTATACCAGGTGCTATATGCGCAGGATTATTTAAAACAATATTTGCTAAACCACTCGATATCATTCTTCTAAGTAATTTTCCAGACTTCAGCATCAGGCAAAAAGTTAAATGTAAGGAAAGTTATCTTGAATTCATAATTATTTGATTGATCGAGCAGAAATTTCCATCTCACACATATACAGTAATTTCGAAATCTTGTTTCTTTCACAACTTCATAGCTCTCACCTTTGGGTTACGTTGAACTTAGGTCTCTAGGAGGTCTCTTAGGAATGTCACCGACTCTACTGCGTTGCGTCTGGTACGAGACAGCTCACACCAAGGGCCTTTACGTTATTTGAGGTTACCGACACTGTTAACTGGTTCTCTATCCAAGGGAAGATCTTCCGGTACACTCAGAATCAACCCTCTAAGTTTCGAGCAGAAACTCAGTTCTCTGAAGGCGCTTTCAGGGTTTCTAGGGACAGCTTTGTGTTGGAAAAAGAGCGCTACACATTCCAAATTCACCATTTTTGAATACGGAATGTATGTTTCCCAAAGGTCAGCTGACACGAATTTCAGATTAGCAAGCCACTCCTTTGAACTTTCACTGAAGATCTGCAGTGTATTTAGAACTTGCTGTGTGGGTTCGACAGATACTTGTTTGTCAACATTCCTGATCCAAAGGTGTTCCAATGATGGCATCAATGGTAAATGACGAACTGCGTCAATTGGCGATGCATCTTCCAGCCACAGCGATTTCAACTATATACAGTATTTACACAATCAACAAAATATCAAGATAAATAATCACACGGAAGGTCGGCCCAGACAAAATATGACCACTTTCAGAACAGCAAAATAGTTTTCACAGCGAGAATGAAAAGAAAAATAATACATCATTCCGTCTAAAATGGATTCAATTTCAATCCCTGTCCCATTTTGTGATTTACTTTTTTAACCTCTGTGGTATGCGTACAATGGTCATGAAGAATAAGAACCCCAACTAAAAAAGCCTAATCAGCATCTAGAACCGATAAATATCCGAAGAAGCTTATAACACCATGACCAATCATGCTTAATTTTGTGAAGAGAAATCTGAAGTTCGTGGGTTTAAAAATACAGTACAGCTTAATTTATTCATTTCTGAAAAAATCCTGACAAATTAATAGGATGAAGAGGAGAATGATTTCGCATCATCGGGACAAAAGAAAACGATGAACAGAATAATTATTAAGAAGAGAGCTACAATCACTGTCACAGGGATTACATTGGGGTCGAATGTTTTCCAAAGTCTGAAGTTGCTTTACCCGCAAATGAGTGAGCAAATATCGGCATCTATTCAAAAGATCATTTTTAAAATCTACAACTGCAAAAAGGATGAAAATTATCTACAGTCAAGAGTTCAATGACGCTTTGCATGCTTCAGGCACAAATAGATCTGACACTTAGGCACATGATAAGAAGGGCTTAGCTTGTGTAAAACACAATTTTTCAAGACGAAGACTGTGGCAGGACATTCTCGTATATTTGTCCAAATATACAATGGAATTTTACTGTTCACCTTCGGGAAAAATACGATTTTCTCGTCGTCAACCGGCGGCATATTGTTGAAGATCGTTCCACTCATGCTCAGGGATTCAAGGTTTGCAAAAATCCCCATTCTCCGAGCAAGTTGCCAACCCATCGCATCCAACTTCACGGGCAATTGATAGGTATGAAGACTTGAAAGAACACCAGAGCCCAGAAAGTCAGGGAACTTCAGCAAAAAAGGATCCCGCAGCAGGGAAACATTGGATAATACATTTGCCACGTCATGTAGAATAGCAGGATTAAGATACAGTTTCTCCATCCTGTAAGCAATGCATTCACCAGATTCAGCAGACACAGCACATAAAAAAATCAACTATCTTAATATATTATACTGACCTCGGAAAAGCCTGTCCCATATTCGCTGAATACATTTTCTCCAAGGAACACCGTAAACTCACTACCCGACATTTGGGAAACAAGATGTGTCCAGATTCGGAAGCTTTTAATAGAGAGTCCCCAAGAGTAACGCATTCCACTGACAGCATTTCCAGCAAGCACTCGCAGAACGGTGAAGAGCACTCTTTAAGTTCGGTACGTAGAAGCAAGCATAGGTTTAAGTCCTGAAACTCTTGGAAGTTAAATGAGGTTAGCACTACTAACTTATAACCAAAATTTTACTTCCGTGGCCAAAAAGGTTCCAGTCCAGTTTGAAATCTGAACTTCAATGAAAGCCTCTGAACATACCTATGTTAAAGGGACTCATGAGCAAAAACATATTTCATTAATTAATTCAACTTACCTATGCAAAACGCTGCAGAAATCCTTCAAGTGTCCCCACGGCGGACATTCCATTCCATTCTCAAGATAAAACTCGATACGCGTCCAACTGCTTCCATCCTTCATCAAGTCAAAGAATAGCCGACACACAGGGACAACGTCTTGCATCATTGCAAATGGTGTCAGATATTTCATGACATTCTTGAGAATCAGCCAAGGACATGATAACAGGAGTGAAGTCTGTGGCTCTCTGACGTGACTGATGCCATCACTGAGGAGGAACATGATCCTGAAAGAAGCTACGAAAACACATTGGACACCATCAATTAATTTCAACTTTGGTTATCATTTTAATGCAGGAGAATATGAATGATTGCTCACACAAATACGAAAAACTCCATTTTAACATAACTCGACTATATGGAAGCAGGACACGTCCAAAAAAACACCGAAGTGAAGGTTATTGCTCCGCAGTGTGACATTTAAAATTTGAATTCACATGTTTAGCTTTTTTAAACGCTCAACTTCGCATAGAAAAATCTAAAGCTTCGAAAATTTTCCTACTTCACATATTTAGAGTTAAGTATACTTAACATAATATTATGTACTGTACTTACATATACAGAACTGCACAAATATACTCAACATATTTTTACACTACGGAGTTTATACCCGCAACAAAATCGCCATCTGACTGGTTCATAAATTGAGTCAATCGTACAGAACACTACAGTTTTTTTAGAGTCTAATTTAGCTGGCTGGATCAAGATGCGAGTTACTTGCACACGGTACAATCATATAGAACTCTTTTCATGTGACCAACGTGTATAGATACAGGCATTAGTTTAAGCACTTCAGGGATCGATGCGGGCAAAACGTTGCGCAAGTTTGATCGAATTTAAATTCTCTGCTTCACATTATTTCATTGAAAACTAACGAAGGTTCCCTGGTGGCAGTTTTCGAGATTCTGGAACCATCTTCCAAACAATAATGTACTGTATTCTGATCTCGGCGACTCCCTGGCATTGATGAAGGATGTCAGGCTTCCCCTGAACTATATAGGTTGTAGAACAAGATATTCATCAAATGAACTGGCATTTTTGAAAATCTTATTACAAGATCGCTCCAAGTTTCGGTTTCGATTCAGCAGCGGACCAAAAAAGAAGCTTCAATAAATCGCGAAGAATTTCATTCCAAGGTACGACAGAGATAACTGCTGCACGGTATACTCACGAATTTTTGAGAAAAGCCCCTCAATGATGTCTCCGTGTCTCAAAATACGCGTTGACCTCTGCTTTCTCGGCAAAAAGTCATCATTCACGAGTATATACAAAGCAAAGCGGTGCGTGATTGTTTCAACGACAGATATTACGAACTCTCCGCTTGCATCCTGAATGATGGAGAAAATCATCTCCAAACCAGCCTGCTTGGAGCAAACAGCTCCAACTTTCACCCCATTTTCTTCTTTATGAACATCTGAGAAGAATTGTTCAAATGGAGTCAGATGAATACTGTACTCGGAAATGAAAAATGTAAGAGCATACAGTATATTCAACTTACGTAGACGAACCCGAGTCCCCTCAGTAATACACTTGTTTCCGAACCTTTCAAAATAACACGAAACTGTCATTCGATTCGGATTCGTGTCGCACGACCTTCTCGAACCATCGTCTGTCGCAGCACGTTGTTCCAATTCCATGTAGGCAAGGTTTCGGAGACCATAATCTAATTTCACGAGAAACGCACGCATGACGGAAATGAAAGCTTCGGAGCGAAACTTCGACTGAACTTCTTGAAACTCCGATTCTTTTGCCTTTTCCCCTTACATCAAAAGCCCCNGCATCCTGAATGATGGAGAAAATCATCTCCAAACCAGCCTGCTTGGAGCAAACAGCTCCAACTTTCACCCCATTTTCTTCTTTATGAACATCTGAGAAGAATTGTTCAAATAGATTCAGATGAATACTGTACTCGGAAATGAAAAATATAAGAGCATACAGTATATTCAACTTACGTAGACGAACCCGAGTCCCCTCAGTAATACACTTGTTTCCGAACCTTTCAAAATAACACGAAACTGTCATTCGATTCGGATTCGTGTCGCACGACCTTCTCGAACCATCGTCTGTCGCAGCACGTTGTTCCAATTCCATGTAGGCAAGGTTTCGGAGACCATAATCTAATTTCACGAGAAACGCACGCATGACGGAAATGAAAGCTTCGGAGCGAAACTTCGACTGAACTTCTTGAAACTCCGATTCTTTTGCCTTTTCCCCTTACATCAAAAGCCCCGCCTGTACATAAAAAATAGCCGAAAATATGAGTGAGACGGTAATCCCGAAACAGATGTTCTCTTCACGGATTACCTCAAATCATCGTGTAGTTCGACGACTCGCATCAACAAGACATTTTGCAGTACTGTACAGTGTAAAACAGCAACAAACAACACTGTAGAAGGACATTCCGAAAAAAAATATAACTCCGGGCGAAATAAGAGAGGGAGGCGACCTGATTTGCTGTTGACAGTACAGTGCAGTACTGCATATTCGCGAGTTCGGTTATACCCTCAACTTATTCACGGCTTAAATGTCCCTACAATAGACAGAAATTCTCCGCAGAAATTAAAAAAATAAATTTATACACAGCTTATACAGTCTTTGTTTTTTCAATTCAATTGATTGACCCCTATTTCCGCTGCCACGCAGCAGGTGTTAGGGGCGAAGAAGAAAAAATTGCTGAATGCCAATGAGGCAAATTTGTCAAATCTTGCTAAACCTCTCGAAGTCTCGAGATGACCGAAATCAAGGATTCGCAGTTAAATCAAGCAAGGGACGTCCTTGTCAACTGTTCGGAAATAATGTTGAAATCCGAATCGGTTTGAAGTTCGCAAAATTACCGATGTGTGCGAATAAAGTAAGATTTACGTGTGTGCTTCCGACAATTATTTCTCAAACATTTGCAATGGAACTCCGAGGGAATCGGTGGTGTTGTAACATATGACTTTGGTTGTGCCGAGACCCGCAGTAATAATTCAATGCATCTTCAGTTCTTTTTCGAGAAAACACAGTAGAATTGAGAGTTTGAGATCTTATGCTGAAGGATGATTCAGAGCAATAACCACGCCTCCCGTTAAACGGGCACGGCATAGACTCTTGTGTCTAGTCTAGTCACAAATTATTGCCAATTGGGTTCCATAGAAATTTTGTGGAATATTTCTTGGTAAGGAAGGCATTAACATCGGGGGTTTACTTCAGGACAGGCATCATATCCTGTGAAATCTGGTGATGGATGAGAATGACGGAATTCCGACATTAGATGCTATGAGTCAGATAAAAACTAACAGGGCCAAATTCCATGTCAGCTTGTTTCAGAACACGATCTGGGATGACGCATTCTTGCTTGATCTCCAGAAAATTGACAGCCAATAATGGCTATCTCAGTAAGAACCTACACAAAATTTCCAGTCACTGGAACGCCATCAGGGTTTGAACTTTTTTTTTTCTACTTCGTCAGATTAATTCATAGAAGAGACGAAAAAAGTAAATCCGATATCAGAAGAGACTATTCCGGAAACTCGCACTCCACATTTCACGAAATTACGACTCGAAATGTCACATTTCACTCATTTTCGAACCCATTGTGGATAAAAGGAATAAAACCTGAAAATGAAAAATACGAGTCATTACACCGTAAAACTGGCTTGAAAATTATTGCGAGTACCTGTACCGGTACTTCAGACATCAAACAACTACAGTATTCGTGCATTTTTTCAAACAAATTTATTACAATCCCCACTCAAATAAAAAAAGGCCACCCAAACATGGTAAACAAATTAATCACAATTTTTCTACATTCTTTACAGCATTTCAACGACAGAGGATCAAGTGAAGAGCCGCAATTCTTCAAATATACGGCGCACTTATTACTTTTTCAAAACGTGGTGGGAAGATACAGAATAATGCGTCTTAAACACATTTCATTACTCAAGTGAAATCGCTCGTCGTTATCCGACAACAAAATTCTATCCAGGCTGGCATCACCGAAAATCATTCAAACAAGTCTATCCCTTCATCATGATTTCAGTTCGAGGAAAAAAAATCAAGACCCCTGAATTCTTCAGGATTTTTAGAAGTTTAGATTATTCACAGTTAGCAACTGCTTAAACGAAAGATGTACCGTATATCATGAGCAAGTCAGTTTTTTCATCACTTAGATTCAGGGAAACTAATAAGTCTGTTACAGTACTCAAGAGCAAGAAGGCAGAACAAAACTGTGATGATGGCTCATCAAGGCCGTGTATTAAAGATGGCCAAAATCGCCTGCGTTTCAATTTTCCCAAACAAAGATTTTATTACATTCCTCACTCAAATGAAAAAAGGCCACACAAACATTGTAAGAAAATGATTTACAACTTTTCTCTATTCTTCAAAATATTTCAACGAGAGGGGGCGATCAAGGGAAGAGCCACAATTCCTCGAATACTGCATACGGCGCACTTACCACGATTTTAAAACGTGGTTGGAACAAAGAGGATGCGTCTTCTACGCATTTCATCACACACTTGTTAGACATCTCAGCAGAAAATTAATCAAATGAATCCATCCTTTTTTGATGATTTCGGTTGGAGGACACAAGAGCTAAGAAACCCTAAATTCTTCAGGAAGTTTAGATTATTCACGGATACCAACTGCTACATTTTTATATTCGACGGATATCCTGTGCATCAGCTATCAAAATCTAGGAGCAATACGGCACGACGAGGTTGCATCGTTGGTCTATCAAGCCGCGGATTGAAAATGGCCGAAATCGCCTCGAATACCGAAAGCTTACCCTGCACCAACTGGTTAGGCACAAGTCGAAGCCATTCGGAGTAAAATCTCGTGACGAATCTGGATGAGAACTCCGAGCTCGTTTGCTGTTTGACGTCGCAAGTGATGTACTTGTGACCTAGATCTGGTCCGAACTCACAAACGAAAGTCGCTTGATACAAAGAAGACACTGGTCCGAGGCAGCCTAGCATAGTTTCGGGAAGCCCTTCGCCGCTTTCCTCGTCAGTTTTCGAAAACAACACTATATTCTTCAGTCGCTTGAACGCCTTCACAGCCCGGAGAATTTTCTTCCCTTCCTGAGTAAAAAGTGCGGGAAGTGAGAGAGGAAGGGTTGAACCGACAGAATTTTCAGTAATGTTCAGCCGTAGTTCAAAACAATCAACGATCGGCATATCACCAATGTAATTCAGACACCCAATTCCCGAGTGATTCCAAAGTAAATTTAGTCAAAAACGTCAATTAAAAGATACAGCCTCCTAATAATGGATTAATCCTCCAGTAAAGGCTAATCGTTTCAATCTCATTGTATATTATTGAATGAATTGAACACATCATCAAACCTCTTTTAGTCAAATTTTAAGGGACCAGCAAAAAAATTCGAGTTAGGGAACCGAGCATTTTAGCGAGTAGAAATAAGAAAAAATTACAGGTTATGGTAATTGTGATATTCAGGTAACTTCAACATAGTTTAGCCTCCGTGATGCACCATACTTTCACTGCGTAAAACACCTTCCTATACTGAAGTGCCAACGATTCGAAAGGTTATGACGAATAAGCAGTCCATAAAGAAAACAACAAAAATGTTACCATTAATCCCAACAAAGCATGCTGTACATGCCTGTGCTTGCGTGAAAAGGAACAAAAAGATCTTTTGTGTCACAGGCATGGATTACGAGATCGTTCTTAAATGAGTTTGACCACGATCTCTGGGGATCGAGGAAATTATACCTGTTTCCATTTTCATTCGGAAGCTTGAACAGTATTTCGCACATATACTTTCAGAATCCAGGTTTTACATATTTTACGATCTTACCTTGAAGTTACACACTTCAATCCAAAGATCCTCCAAAGAATCCTTACAGTGGCTGAGTTGACGTAGCACAGACCATGCCTTGTTGAGTTTGGTTCCCGGAAACGCAATGAATTCCAACGGCTGTGACAACTGACCAATAGTTTCCAAGGGGAGATTATCTGGCACCTTCAGAATCAGACCTCTCAGCTTGGAGCAGGACCGAAGCTCTTTGAAGACGCCTCCAGGACTTTTCTCAACGGTTTTGTGCTGGAAGAAAAGAGCTACGCATTCCAAGTTGATCATGTTCGAATACGGAATGTATGTCTCCCAAACGTCAGCAGAGACACATTTCAGATTTTCCAGCCACTCGATTGGACTTGAATTGAAGACTTGCAGTGCTTGTAGAACTTCTTGTGTAGGTTTTATAGAAGTTTCTTCTCTAACAGCATTCCTGATCCAGAGGTGTTCCAATGATGGCATCAACGGAAAATGACGACATGCAGCAATTGGTGAGGCATCTTCCAGCCACAGTGATTTCAACTACAGTAAAGCAAAAATATATGTATGAAGAATCATCCACAGAACTTTGACCCAGACAAACTTTGTACGCTTTTATACAATGATAAACCTCTCAAACAAGAATTAATAATCATTCCAAAAAGCTCAAAGAGGATTTGAACGCAGTTCCTGTCTCATTTCGTGTTTAACACTCACATTCTGCGCATGGTATGCGTACGGTCATTAAAAACGCCATCTCAAAAAGAAGCTTCAATAGAATCATTCAATAGTTGAATATCTCAAAAAGTTCTCGAACACCCAACATCAAATCAGTCGAAGGATGAAAGTCAACGTCACTTGTACACATGCTTCAGAAGAAAGAGTAGTTTTCTTTCTTGAATCATCGAGGCAATGTAACATGCTTGAGAAAGCCATTTTAAAGACGTAGATATTTTAGGAAAAAAGGGAATACAGTTGGTCTCAACATTCGCCGAAACATTGAATTAATTCTTCTGCAGAAATGAGAGGTCAAAGAAGGGAAATTTATAGAGGAGATCGATTGCATACTTTTTTCCACAACTGATTCGAATACCGTTTAATACTGTAATATGACTAATATGCGCCTGGTATCCACTGAGGACCAGGGCTCAATCGAATAGTGATTTCAACTATTCCACGGAATAGTGGCTTCTTATATAGTAGCTGGGGGGAGGGGGTCGCAAACAGGGTCAAATAAGTGTGGAAGATCTACTGGCATTTTTATTCCATGATTCTGTGAAGGGCTAGCGAATTCAGGGTTAAAATACTCATCTTCCAAGTATTGTCACATACAAAAGGTGCTCCTGTCTTAATTTCGAGAGAAAGAAACAACCCTGGAACACTTTCGTACTTTTTTCCCATTTCCATTTTTTTATACTGTTTATATGTATGTTGGTACCTTAATTCAAGAAGCAATAGTTGCATTTTTTGTTGCTCATCTATTACATAATCGATTACCGTTAAAAATGTCACATTAAAATGGTCACATTAATGGTCATTTGATGCAGCCTTCAAGATTAGTGTTCCAAGAATATGCAAAAGAATCACTGTACCAGTTCCAACGTTTACCCATCTTCACACTTACAAAATCTGTCTGCTCAGAACAAATTTTACAATAATGGCTAGTTTTTAATAAGTGCCTGACTCCAATGAACGCCGGGCGGACAGGGAAAATTTTTTCAATAAACGCGTCGAGCTACAATCATATGACATTTAAGGTACCGTAAAAAGGAAGAAAATTCTGAACGGTGAAAAATTTCGCTCATAATCCACGTTTCAACAACTACAAAACGGCAGAGATGATTGATTAGAGTTAAAAATAAATTGTTCCACAGGCAGGAATTGGCATGACATTGTTGCATTCGTCCGAGTAAAATCACGCGTTCATATTCACCTTCGGGAAATAGATGATTTTCTTCTTAGCCGGCGGCATGTTGTTGAAGATCTCTCCACTCATGCTCAGGGATTCGAGGTTTGCAAATATTCCCATTTTCCGAGCAAGTTTCCAACCTCCCGCATCCAATTTAACGGGCAACTGGTAGGTATGAAGACTCGAAAGCACACCAGAACCCAGAAAATCAGGGAACTGCCGCAAGTGCGGATCCCGCAGCAGAACCAAATTCGACCTTAAACGTTCTGTGTCATGTAGAATAGCATGATTGAGATGCAGTTTCTTCAACCTGTAACCCATGCATTCACTATATAGACACAGCACATAAACCATCAATGATGCTAATACTATACTTGCCTTGGAAAAGCCTGTCCCATATTAGCAGGAAACATTTTCTCCAAGGAACACCGCAAACGCACTTCCCGACAATTGGGAAACAAGACGTGCCCAGCTTTGGAAGCTTCCAATAAGAGATCCGCTAGAGTAATGTCCTCTAACACGGAGAGCATTTCCAGGTGAATGAGCTTCTTGCCACTCCTCCTGAGAAATTCCGACCATGCCTCTTCGTTGGTGTCCAAATTATCGACTTCGAGCACCTTTAATTTACTCCAATCATGATGTTGGAAAATTGGTCGTAAAATGTTCCGTGGCCAGAGCGGTTCCAGTTCAGGGTCAAAATTGAACTTCAGTGAAAGCTTCCGCACATGCCTAATATCAAGGGGGTAATGAAACAAACATACCGAATCCATGAATGCGACTCACTTATATACAACGTTGCAGAAGTCTTGGAAGTGCCCGAATGGCGGACATTGCATTCCATCCTTAAGACAAAACTCCACACGTGTCCAACTGCTTCCATCCCTCATCAAGTGAAAGAACTGCCGACACACAGGAACAACGTCTCGCATCATTTCAAATGGTGGCAGAAATTTTGCGATATTCTTGAGAACCAGCCAAGGGCTGGACAGAAGGAGCGAAGTCTGCGTTTCTCTGACGTGACTGCTGTCACTGAGGAGGAACATGATCCTGAAAGTAGCTGCAAAAAACAATTTATGCATTGATTCCTTCCTATTCAATTGTGGTGTTCTTGTACAGCAAAGCAACCTAGTTGACGGACTCAAAAATAAATATATATATATACTTTATATAGAACACGTGGATCAAGTTTATTTTTATCAACTATGAAGAATGTCAAGTTAAACTCAAATACAAGTCGATTCTCCCTACGACGAAATGTATGCAACCAGAAAAAAATGGTTGTATAACGAATTTTAAGTGGAAAACTCCATTGGGCAAAAATTATCCGTCATACAGAGAAAATAATTGCAGACAAGATTGTTGTAGATAGGCGTCCACCTGTATAAAAGTGTGATGCGAGGATTTATTGACAATCCGCACAGCCCTACTAAACTTGTTGTTTTAAACTTAGGTTTGAATTTACAAAAAGGGGCATGTGAACAAAAAAATACCAAGATGAATTTGTCCATGAAAATATCTCTGGTTTTTTGTCCGTATGGAGGAATGTGATTCTGTTCATCCTCAATGAACAGATGTACCCTTTTTTTCAAATTCTTGTGTTTTCAATCTGGTCAAGGATAATTTTGATGCGTGCATTAATAATTAATCCCTGTTCTTCTCAGGAATCAAGGCACAGTCCTGAAGCCTCACAGAATCTTCGACTTTACCACCCAGATATTCAAGCAAATATTATGTGCCAATCATATTTGGTGAAACACAAACAATGAGGCATCTCCACTCGATGCAGGACAATCTGTTGCTTATCCATGACCATCAAAACGTTCATCGTACAATGTAACAGAAGAATGAGTCAGACTAAAAAGCAGCATTCAATTGATGAAAATCTGTTGAATTTTTTGTCCACATGCTGAACATCTTACAAACATTCTTTCACCACTTGGCTCATAAATTTGGCTTATGAATTTTCCACTTTCATTTCACAATCAATCATTTTTAAAGAACCCCTTCACAATTTCCTTCTCTTCTCTGCAAACTTAACCTCAGTCAAACTTAAATGCGGCCCTTAATTTCAAGAGAATATCTATGCTTTTTAAAATGTCCCATACCCCAGAGAGGTTTTCTGGAGATGCTTCACTGGATACATAATTTTACAATAACTGGTTGATTCATAACCTAAGTCAATCGCACAGCTAGTAAACGGAATAATCTTGAGTTTTACTTTTATTGCATGAGTCAATATGGACGTTGTTCACAAAAAAAATTCCCGGACCCTTCTCGTTCGCTCAGTTTGATCTGGGAGAAGACAGATGCAGTATCCGCGGAATCTTCCGTTACTGTGGGGGATAAGCTCTTCACGTTTCAATACTTTCCATACAGTTTTTACGCCATCAACCCATCATATGCAATTCGATTACAGTATATCTTTGGTGCACACCAAATAATTCTTGAATTTGAGATTCAAAAATTACAGTCTAAGTGAAATGTTCCGACGATCTTGGCAACTTCTCTGGAATTGCTGATGCGAAATTTTACGGCTGTCCCGCATTGAAAATTTACGGCTGTCCCGCATTCAAAATTTACGGCGATCGTTACACTAGGCGAATAAACGAGCACTTTGAAAACCATAGGTGAATGTGAATCAAATTTGCACTCTGAGTTTCGGAATTACAGTAATCGAACGGAGCTTTCAAGATGTTTCTGGCGAAATACATTGAAAACATGTACAAGTATAACTCACGAATTTTGCAGAAAAGTCCTTTGATGATGTCGCCATGTCTCAAAACACGCATGCCTTCCTCATCAAATGGTAAAACGTCATTATTGACGAATAGGAAAAAACCGAAGCGTTGGTTCTTCTTCCCAACCCCGCTCAGTATGAAGTCTCCGGATGGACACTGGAAGATGGAGAAAATACTCTCCAACCTCGACTGCTTCGGGCAAACTTCGCCAACTTTCACCCCTTTTTCCTCTTTATGAACATCTGAGAAAAACCGTTGATACGGAGACAGCAAATAGAAAAAGTGCTGTATAAGAGTATCATACACAACTTACGGAGTCGAAACTGCGTCCCCTCAGTAATACACTCGTTTCCGAACCTTTCGAAATAACACGACACTGTCTTTTGACTCGGATTTGTACCGCATCTTGGGCCAGGGTGTGTCGCATCATGTCGTTCCAATTCCATATACGAAAGGTCTCGGAGACCGAAATTCAGTTTCAGGAGAAACGCACGCATTGCGGAAAAAGGAACAAACAGCTCTGAACGAGTATCGTCGAAGGTTTCGTCAAACAACGTCACTGTCTCGATTTCTGCAATCAAAAGCAAAATATATAAATAAATAAATAAACCTCGCCGACAGAAATCAGCTGAAGAAAATGAATGAGAAGGCAATTTCAACGAATGTCCCTTTCACCTTTTACTCAACGACTCGGAACCCCTCGTTGCATGAATGAAGACGAAAACTTTTGAACTCTTCTCCACCTCTCGTATGCCAAATTTAAATGAGTGAGAAACGACGATTCAAAGAAAATGCCATTACTGCTATACGGGCAATCATTTTTGCGTGCTTCACGAATTCCCAGCATGTACGGACCATGATTGCAGTATTTCAAAGAAATTGAAATAAATAAATAGAGAAACGCGCGCATCGCCGCTAAGTCAAATTCTTCCGACTGTTCCCGGCCAAGAAATGTTCAAAAACACAACAGCAGTTTCCATTCCTGGTCCCTACCGGTTCCCGGAGGCGGGACTTCGCTTCAGCCGCCAAACCGTGCCTTTCATTCCTCTGCCCCAGTACCAGCAGGGCTGCAAGTTTGTGTCCCTGGGTACAGAGTTTCAGTGCTTCTTGTATGACAGAACAATTGGTTAGGGAATTTCCAAGTGGGCGTGATCTTCGTTTTCCACAAAACACATCGGAGCGAAGTCCGGATAATGAATGGAAACTGATGGCGTCATTTGCCCCGAGATTTCCCGAAAAGTCCATTGAAAAAATTCGTATCAAAGCTGAATAAATTTTTCTAAATTTTCAAGAGATAAAAGTTCATTTAAACATTCGGAAGTCCCTAACAGCATAAAATTCATATTAAAAATTAAATAAGGTGGTTTCAACTTCAACAATACTGTATTTGGGAGTCGGAGAGTAATGTGAAATACGCAACACTCAAAAACATTAGAAGCAGTTTCATTGTCCGATCCGTTCCGTTACTGTACTTCCATTCCGTGGATGACTTTCGTAAAGAGTGCAAGGCATTTGAGCTTTTTGAAAGCATATATGAGCAGTCTTCCATTACACACTTGAAATACACCAAACTTAGTGCAGTTTTTGCCTTCTCAAATGCAGAAATTCAAAGTAAAAAGCGCATACTAAAGAATTTATACTCCTCGGAATCATCGCCATTCATCCACAGGCGACTCGTCAAAGGACTTTTCAGAAACCCCTCCTGAATTGGCAAACCTCTTTAAATGAAAAAATCCTCAGTTAAGGACGAAATCCGCGAAAACACCACAGCCTTGGGCAGTTTTATGGCGCGCGCATGTCAACAGGATTCAGTTACCGACTGTAAAATACTGAGAAAAAATTCCTGACAGTTGACACTTGCTGGAAAAGAGAACACAGAGGCGGTCTTTTTGCTTTGAACTGCACACCGAAGAGTCGGGTTACACCCCAACTTCAGGGCAATAAAGGCTCTGTATTGCCATTTTCCTGCAGTTACAAAACGATTCCATGTCGAACAATACTCATTTCTTTCCTCTGCTTAAGTTGATTCCGTCGCATTTTGGGTCCCAACTGCTGAGGCGGAATTCGAGAATATAGTAACTTCCAATTCATGCATTGGATTGCTACGAACATCAAGTAAATATGGATGGTGCGGTTCTAGCATGTGACGAGCTTTAAACTAACTCATAAAATCTTTGCATAGAAAATCGTTGTACGGCTCCACAAGGACCTGTTATACAGACCGGCTAAGCCGTTGGAATTCATTGCGTTTCCGGGAACCAAACTCAACAAGGCATGGTCTGTGCTACGTCAACTCAGCCACTGTAAGGATTCTTTGGAGGATCTTTGGATTGAAGTGTGTAACTTCAAGGTAAGAGCATAAAATATGAAAAACTGGTTTCTGAAAGTATATGTGCGAATTACTGTATAAGCTTCCGAATGAAAATGGAAACACTGGTATAATTTCCTCGATCCCCAGAGATCGTTGTCGAACTATTTTAAGAACGATCTCGTAATCCATGCCTGTGACGCAAAAGATCTTTTTGTTCCCTTTCACGCGAACAGATGCATGTACAGTATACTTTGTTGGGGTTATCGGTAACATTTTTGTTATTTTCTATATGGACTGCTTATTCGTCATAACCTTTTGAATCGTTGGCACTTCAGTATAGGAAGGTGTTTTACGTAGTGAAAGTATGGTGCATCACGGAGGCTAAACTATGTTGAAGTTACCTGAGTATCATCAATTACCATTTCCTGTAATTTTTTCTTATTTCTTCTCGCTAAAATGCTCGTTTTCGTAACTTGATTTTTTTGCTGGTCTCTCAAAATTTGACTAAAAGAGCTTTAATGATGTGTTCCGTTCATTTGAAAATATTTATGAGAATGAAATGATTAGCCTTTATTGGAGGATTAATCCGTTGTCATGCGGTTTCATTTAATTGACGTTTTTTACTAAATCAACTTCGGAGTCACTGGGGATTTGTTTTTCCGGATTAAATTGAGTGATTAGCCGATCGTTGATTGTTTTGAACTACGACTGTACATGGATATTCTGTGCGTTCAACCCTTTTCTCTCTCTTACTTCCCGCACATTTTACTCAGGAAGTGAAGAAAATTCTCCGAGCTGTGAAGGCCTTCAAGCGACTGAAGAATGTCGTGTTGTTCTCAAAAACTAAGGTGGGAAGCGGCGAAGAGTTTCTGGAAACCACGCAAGACTGCCTCGGGCCAGAGTCTTCCTTGTGTCAAGCGACTTTCGTTTGTGTGGTCGGACCACGTCAATGTCACGATGGTCCCCATTACATCACTTGCGACGTCCAACGGCAAACGAATTCGGAATTCTCATCCAGATTCATCTCGAGATTTTACTCCGAATGGCTTCGACTCGTGCCCAGCCAGTTGGTGCAGGGTGAGCTTTCGGTATTCGAGGCGATTTGGTCGATCTTCAATCCGCGGCTTGAAAGACCAACGATACAGCCTCGTCCTAGTGTATTGCTCCTAGATGTCGGACTTTAATTTCTCTGACCCCCATTCACCCATCGAAATGAAAACTAATTTTGATTGCTGATGCACGGGAAATCTGTTGAATATAAAAATATAGCAGTTGGTATCTGTCAATAATCTAAACTTCCTAAAGAATTCAGGGTTTCTTAGCTGTTGTGTCCTCAAACCGAAATCACTATTAAAAGGATGGATTTGTTCGATTGATTTTCTGCCGATGTCTATCGGGAGAATTTTTTTGTCCGATACCGACCAGCTATTTCACCTGCGTAATGAAATTCGTGGAAGACGCATCCTATATCTTCCAACCACATTTTGAAGTGGGGGTATAAGTGCGCCGTATACAGTATTCGAGGAATTGCGGCTTTTGACTTGATCGCCCCTTTTCGTTGAAATATTTTGAAGAATCGAGAAAAGTTGTGATTCATTTTCTTACGATGTTTGGCCTTTTTTGCATTTGATCGGGGATTGTAATAAGATCAGTGTTCGAAAAAATTCAAACACAGGCGATTTCGGCCATCTTCAATACACGGCCTTGATGAGCCACCATCACAGTTTAGCTCTGACTTATTGCTCTTACGTACCGGGTCAGCCATATAAATTTCCCTGAATCTAATTGAAGAAAAAACTGACTTGCTCATGATATACGGTAAATCTATGGATTAAGCAGTTTGCTATCTGCGAATACCTCAATACCGTATTCTAAACTTCTGAACATCCTGAAGAATTGGGGGTCTTACTCTTTTTTCTCGAACTGAAATCATGATGAAAGGATAGATTTGTTTGAACGATTTTCGGCGATGCCTGTCTCGATAGAATTTTGTTGTCGGATAAGGACGAGCGATTTCATTTGAGTAATAAAATGTGTATAAGACGCATTATCCTGTATCCTTCGACCATGTTTTGAAATACTGCAGTAGAACGATCGCCGTAGATTTGAAGAATTGCGGCTCTCCACTTTATCTTCTGGTTGAAGTGTTGTGAAAAAATGTAAGAAAATTCTGAATTGGTTTACCTTGTTTGTATGGCCTTTTTTTACTTGAGTGGGGATTGTAATGAAATTTGTTTGAAAAAAAATGCACGAATACTGTAGTTGTATAATACCTGAAGTACCGGTACTCGCAATAATTTTTAAGCCAGTTTTACAGTGTTTTGACTCATATTTTTCATTGCTTACAGGATGGAGAAACTGTATCTCAATCCTGCTATTCTACATGACGTGGCAAATTTATTATCCCATGTTTCTCTGCTGCGGGATCCTTTTTTGCTGAAGTTCCCTGACTTTCTGGTTTCTGGTGTGCTTTCACGTCTTCATACCTATCAGTTGCCCGTGAAGTTGGATGCGATGGGTTGGCAACTTGCTCGGAGAAGGGGAATTCTTGCAAACCTTGAATCCCTGAGCATGAGTGGAACGATTTTCAACAACATGCCCTTGGTCGACGACGAGGAAATCATATTTTTCCCCAAGGTGAACATCAGTAGCAACATTCTATTGTACATGAACAAATATAAGAGAATGTGCGGCCACGGTCTTCGTCCTGAAAAATTGTGTTCTACACAAACTAAGCCCTTCTTATCACGTGCCCAAGTGTCAATCTTTTTTGTGCCTAAAGCATGCAAAACGTCATTAGACCCTTTGACTGTTGATAATTTTCATCGTTTTTGCAGTTGTGGATTTGAAATATGATCTTTTGAATATATGCCGATATTTGCTCACTCATTTGTGTGAAAAGTAACTTCAGCATTTGGAAAACATTCGACCCCACTATAATCTCTGTGACAGTGATTGTATCTCTGTTAGCAATAATTATTCCCTTCATCGTTTTCTTTTCTCCCAATGATGTGAAATCATTTTCCTCTTGTCCATATTAATTTTTCAGGCTTTTTTCAGAAATGAATAAATTGAGCTGTATTATGGAACCCTCGAACTTGAGATTTCTCTTCACTAAATTGAGCATGATCGTTCATGGTTTTTAGAAGCTTCTTCGGATATTTATAGGTTCTAAATGCTGATAGAGAGGCTTTTTTAGTTAGGGTTCTTATTCTTCATGACCAATGTACGCATACCACAGAGGTTGAAGAAGTAAATCACAAAATGGGGCAGGGATTGAAATTATACATTTCAGACGGAGTAATTTTTTTTCATTTTGCTGTTCTGAAAGCGCTCATATTTTGTCTCGGCCGACTTTCTGTGTGTGATTATTTATCTTGATATTTTGTTGAATGTATGTACTGTTTAGTTGAAATCGCTGTGGCTGGAAGATGCATCACCAATTGACGCAGTTTGTCATTTACCATTGATGCCATCATTGGAACACCTTTGGAATGTCCACGTTTACTTCAAACTGACCCGCCGAATAACCTTGCTGCACCTGTGAAAAAATTCGTTCAGGGACGGGCGCATCAAAGCCCTTCTTCCGGGGAGTGACGACGAGCCGGTGTAGCAGGCAGGGCATACTCCCCAGGCACAGCTTACTCCACCTGCAGGAGAATTAGTCCACATCCGGGGAGTGCGATTCAGCAGAGGCTCTTCTGAAGTGATCACTCACGCAGTGGTATCTTCCACAAAAGCCGATTCTTGAAGCGGCTTTAACTTTGGCAAGAGTAATGATGAATTCTGCGGAAATCTATTTTCACGGGAGGCCTTGGAGCAGTAAGGGCACCCCCTTACACACTCAAGCGTCACCTAGCGGCAATTGCGCAACCCGCAAGTCCCACGTGTCGGTGAGATCCAACGTGGATTCCACGTGTCTTATTGGCGCGCGGATCGGAAGGGGGGCGCAAGGAGGAGCAAGGCGAGACAGCCTGGTGGGATTCTGTTCTTGACGTTTGACAAATCAACATCCTCTTTTATACTCTCTTAATCGTTGACTTGTGATTGTGGTTATGAAGATTGAGACTCTGGAGAAATAAGACGTGTTACAGAAGAAACGTGTGTCAAAGTTCCTGAAAGCCTGCAGCAATCTTATTGGGGGCTCAAGCCACTCAATAGCCTTCCCATATTTTGCATTTTTTGGCATCACGTGTACACGCATCTCCAGCATCATACCACGGAATACCAAGAATTTGAAAGCAGCGGCAGCCGCCGCACTGGTAGAGCTAGCAACACACTCGGAAGACGACGACGAGTACGCCGATCCAAGCGCACTGCCAAGGGCGGAACAGGTGCGCTCCCTGAATTCTGGAACCTCCACGTCAAGTGTGTGGGAAACGCTTCCCCTCACTACGCTTCAGTTGCTTGCAGAGACCTACCACTTGGGACATCCAGCGCCCGCTACAAAGACCGAGTACGCTGCTCAGCTCGAGCGGTTTCAAATCCCCCTATCGGCACTGCAGAATCTACCCCGGGGCCCTGACCAAGTCCCAAGACAACAGCAGGACAACGATAGTGAACTTTCTGGACAAATCTTGACGCAGAGACCTGCATGGCTATCGGAGCTGCACAATCCCAAACTTCCCAAACAAAGGAGTGACGAGGATTTTGAGGACTACACCACTTGCCTACGCAACATGCTAGCAGTGGGGAAGGTCACCGATGAGCACCGCATCTGCTGTCTACTGGAGAATACCTTGCCACACATTCAAGCTACAGCCAACCACATGTATAAACGCGGCTTTGTCAATTTCGAGGAATTGGCAGACGCGGTCGCAAGGAGGCATCCAACGCCGCACTTGGATTGACTTAAGCATTTCAGGACCCTCAAACCGGAGAGCAATGAGAGCTTTTTCAATTTTGGGGAACGGCTACGCGAAGGATACAAAATCTATCTACAGATGTCGCATATCGAATTGGCGGCAGGAGAGGCCATCGTCCAGCACGTCCTGAAGGAGCAACTGCTGAACACAGCGGCGTCAGGATTGAAGGAAGAGCTGTACCGAAAGTGGTCAAAAAATCGCGCCATGTCCTGGGATGACCTCATTGATGTCGCGGAAGCATACCGCCTCAATCACCCAGCAACAATGCAGAGCAGCGGAAACGGCAAAACTAGTTCCCGAGCACACGTGGACTTACCCCCAAAGCAATGGTGCGAATTCCATAAACGGGTCATGCGGCATGGTACGCACAAATGCAGACTTTGGGGGCAGCAACCGGTTTCTACGTTGGCGGCAGCAGATACGGCTGGCATCAAACCAGCCACGGGAACAGGACAGCAATTTGCGTCACGTGGCGCACATTCCGATACTTCCGCGGTAACCTGTTTTCATTGTTTAAAGACCGGTCATTATGCAAAGGAATGCCCACAGGCTCAGGGAAATGCGAAGGTGTAACGGTGAACGCGGCGCACTGTTATATCACCAATTTACCCGCCGCTCCTCCTCCCATTCTCCTTTCGATTTCCATTTGCGGTCAGTCGTTTGAGGCCCTGTTAGATACGGGGGCATCCCACTCTTTTATTTCCGAAGCGGTCGCAAACTGCCTGGCGTTACCAATGCACACCCTACACACCACAGTGGGGATGGCCCTCGGACCGGACGCTGTCCATGTGACAAGGGTGATAGAAACCATTTTTCAGTTTCAGGGAACACAGCATTCGGGGCTATTCCTGATCTTACCGGGCATGCGCGAGTTTGCGGTCATTTTGGGGAGAACTACGTTGCTTCAATTACCCTTAGCGGTCACACTCGACGGCAAACGGATATTCAAGGGCTTCCATGAAGTCATGCGCGCGCCATCTCGACCCACGCTAGCCCCGGGGGCTGGGATTTCTTTTGTCAAAGGGTCACCATGGGAGCAGGAACAGATTTTGCGCATTTTACAGCAGCACGCGCCTCTCATCCGGCAATGGTCAGGACGACACGGTTTATTTGCTGATCATGTCGTCCGGATCCCTACTATCGAGGCGTCGCCTCCCGCGGCACGACAATTTAGGCATTCGGTCAAGCGAAATGTTCCTTTTTCAGAAATCATCGATTTGTACCTGGAAGCCGGAATTCTCAAGCCAGCAGCGTCGCCCTATAATGCGCCTGCTTTCCTGGTGGATAAAAAATGCTCCAACTCGTTGGCCCCTACCGAGAAGCGATTCCGTCTGGTAGAAGACTACTCGGAACTCAATAAGCTGATTGTGCCTGACCACTATCCAATGCCCACTGTTCAGGAGCTGTTGGAAGCTCTGGGACGAAGGAACAAGTACTTCTGCACCTTGGACCTGCATGCGGGGTATCATCATCTTCCAATCGCTCAAGAAGATCGTCCAAAAATGGCCTTCATGTCCCCCAGGGGACAAGAACAGTATAAGGTATTGCCTTTTGGCTTAAAAATTGGGCCGGCATTATTTCAAAGGACAATCGATACAATTCTGCGTCCGTTCTTGTTTAAACGATGCTTAGCTTATGTGGACGACGTAATAGTGTTTGGCAAAACGTTTGATGTTCTCTGCGAAAATCTCCAACTGGTGCTAACGGCACTCCAGGATGCAGGGGCATGCATAGATATCCTAAAATCTTCCTTTCTAGCGCATAAAACGCTTTTTCTAGGGTACAAAATAGATCAGATGGGCAGCCGCCCGGCGGAATGCAATGTCAATGCGGTGCGCAAATATCCGCGCCCCGAGACCCGACGGCAGATGCAGCAATTTCTCGGCATGGCTACTTATTTAAGAGCCCACCTGCCAACAAATTTTGCAGAGTCCGAGAAGGCACTAAGGAGAACAATCCCTCAGAAACCAGCGAATGGGCTGACTTGGACGTCAGAGGCGGAACGGGCGTTTGAGCATATCAAACAAGTACTGGCGGATACGGCAAGATTGGAACGAGTGGACCCAACGTGGCCGATTTCGGTACATTGCGACGCTTCAGCAATTTCTCTGGGAGCAGTGTTGGTGCAAACAGATCCGGACAGCAACTGTCATGGGTCCATTGGATCCCAGACAAAGGAATTGAATTGTGCAGCCATCAGAATGCAAGTTTTGAATAAGAACTCAAACTCTTCTTCAGAGGAGTTTATTCTCATTGCCCAGTTCATCAATTGGCTGTTAATTCAATATAATGGCAGAGTCAATGGTTAAATTGGTTGGTTAGCTCAGAATAATGAATGAGGTAATTTAATTTAGGTTAAAGGCCCTTTAACACTAGGTTCAGACTTCTTGACTTTTTTCTCCAAGAGGAATGAGGGTTTTTATACCCAGGTGCTTGGACTGGGTCAGGAAGAAATCAGGTGATTTCTTCCTGGCTCAGGATTGGCCGATTCAGGCAAAATCAAAGAAGTGAAAACCACTTCTTGTCCTTGAGTGAGGCTCAGTGAGTCTCGCAAAAACGGGATTTTTGCGAGGCTCACAGGCCTCGGAAATCCTACAAGTTTTGGGGTCCGGTTTCCACCGGATGCTGGAGCTGCGTCGCTTCGGTCCGCGACAGCAACGACAGAGTGATTGAGTACGCTAGCCGTACATTAAAAGACGCCGAAACAAGGTATACTAACACCGAGCGCGAATTATTGGCCGTAGTCTGGAGTGTGACAAAAAAATTTTGTCACCATCTAATTTATCAAAAATTTCGCGTATTCACGGACCACAAGGCCTTGTTAGGTAAGCTTCAGTCCGAAAGGCTAATCAGTTTACAGGCAAAGTTGGTGACCTTTGATTTGGAACTTGTGCATAAACCAGGGCATTCTTTTCATGCCCCCGATGCACTCAGTCGGATTTTGTTAAACAGTGCGGATGCGTTGCGACAACCTTTGGAAAGCGAGAGGGTGGCTATAATCGATGCTTATCATCAAGAATTAGGCCACGCCGGCTGGAAAAAGGTACTCGGAGTGCTGAGGGAGCGTTTCTTTTGGTCTAAGATGCGCCAGGACGTGTGGAAAAGGATTTTGTCCTGCGATCTCTGCTTCAAATATAACCAGCCGACGCAGACAGTGGGCCTTCCAGTGAGCGCCATCGAATCCAACAGACTCCAAGAAAGGTTAGTACTTGATTTTTACGGGCCCTTGCCTAAATCCGACGAGAATTTTAAATACGCCATCGTAGCAGTCGATCATTTTAGCAAATACATGATTGCGCAGCCCATTGTAGCGGCGGATACTCAAACTGTGATCCCATTTTTAGCTGAAGTGTTTAAACAGTACGGGTTATTTGAAATTGTGCATTCCGATTGTGATTCAGTGTTCTTGAGTCATGCTTTTCAGCATTTTCTTAGAGGTTACAACATTGGGCAGCATCTCGAACAAGCCACGCATCCCGAGGGAAACGGATGCTGCAAACGTTCGATACAAACTCTTTCCCAGATCCAAGCAAAAGCGGTGCAGGGCAAGGACTCCACTTGGGCAGCACATCTTGCATCGTCTGTGAAAGCTTACAACTCAACCATTCATTCCGCCACCGGGGTAACACCCACAGAGGCAATGTTTGGAAGAAGGCAGATTCTCGAAGCGGACGCAACATTTGGCATATCCTTTTCTAATACTGAGCAAGCTCAGGAAGTGCGCCAGCAATATGTTGCAGACTACAGAGAAAAATTCATTGAACAAGCCAATAAACGTAAAGGACGTCATTTCCTTCCAGGGGAACTAATTGCTGTTTTTCCTAGATTGCTGACAGTGAATCAACACGCAGCAAACCGGCATTTCCAGGTGAGACGCATTGGACCCTTCATGGTGCTGTCTTACCAAGGTAATGGAGAGTATCACGTGGGTGCAGTCCCACACATACGCTGAGTGAATGCCTGGGAGATGGTGCCCTACCGGGGCTTACCACGTCCGCCGGAAACAGGATTCGAAAAATATCTGGGCATCATTGACCCGGAGTCAGGGAGAGACATCGTCATCACAGCTCCGGATCACAGTTACACGATGCAACCTCAGCTAGCACCGTCAGAACAACAAAGGACTTTGAAACTGGATCATTCATATG